AAAAATCAGTTGTTTCCAAATGATGGCATCCGGCCCACTTTTGATAACTACCCTATGGTGCAATAATAACATTTTGGACAACGTCTACTCTACACCGAACCTCTGTGACCGAACGCACTTCACTAATCTAAGATTATTACTAGTTTAGCCTAAATAATTAGAAGACCAGTTTTGAAAATGGTTGTTATTTAAGGAGCTGTTACACTATGCGATTTGTCTCGTAATTTTGTTGCAACACAAGTTGCACATCCCTCTTGCAACTAGTCTCGCAATGTTTATATAATGAGTGGCTTCCTATTGACTTTTGACTGACAATATGGAGCCAAACGTTAGCACTCACGGTTTTTATACTATTTTTATAATGATCATTGCAAGTTACATGGAACATATTGCTTGGTGTAACATCCCTTGCAATGCAATCCTGAAATCGTTTTTCTTAACATTGCGAGACAAGTTCCGAGACAAGTTCCGAGACAAGTTGCTTAGTGTAACAGCGCCCTTACTCCAACTTCTATGGTGAAATATACATAATAAACTATATGGAAACTACGATTTATATAGGAACTAAAAAGGTGAAATATTTTGTGGGATACGATAAAGGCGAAAGATTGAAAATGAGTAGGAAAGGCAACCCTGAATACGTTCCACAGGGTTTTTTTTTAGGCGGGTGTAGGCAGAATTTTCAGAGGAGCCGGGAAGGAGAGTTTAGGAGTTTGGATAATAATGTGAGACGAAGAGAAAAACAAACTATTACGAGGTTATTGAAAATAGCCAGTTACACGGCAACAAAAATGAAAGATGGAAAAATAGTGAAAAATGATATAACTACATAAACTGCTACATGTTATTAGTTAAGTTATCTTACCAAAGGTCTTGTTAGTGCGGGACATTCCAGCACCTGACATACTTTATTGTTTATCTCCTCAGTTAATTTTGAAGTAGAGCAAATGGCAGATCCTTTTAGAGGTAGCTTACTCAATAGTACAGTGAGTATGAATGATTGTGATGGTAAGGGTGGAGTAGGACTTATATCGTAGAATGAATGAATGTAAATGAACGAACGTATTCGTAAATGAATGAATGATACGATATGGCCAATCATTAGCTATAATTCAGGTGTTAATTTTGCCACCTAAAGGATCCATAAAACATGCCAGCCATCCTTGTGTTACTTGAACAAGGAATCAACGAACCAAAATATCCCATTTACTTTAATAAAATAATAACTGCCCTGCTTTTTTAGGTATTCTTGTTTATTAAAATGTCATTAATTAAAAAAATTTGCTATGTTTTTTCTTGCACGAATTTACATGACCCCCCCTTTTTCCCTTGCATGAAAATTAGTGACCCTCCCCCATTTTGCACCCCCCCCCCCTCCTATAATTAATGACCGGTCCTTAATTAAAATGGGAAAAAATACTGAAATAAAAAGGTTGCCCAACTTGTTTTCAGGCCTCTGGACTCTGGAGAATATAGCACGGCCAAAACAAACATGGCGTCCAAGAATTGTTCATTTTCAAAACAACTGAAGCGTTTTCTTTAGATTTTCAACCAAAAACCCAATTTTAATCGCTTTAAAACAAATTTTAGACGGACCACAATACCAATGACCGTTAGAAGCTTACGAGCGTCTCCTTATGCGAGGACAATCAACAAATACTGTCTCTATTTTCTCGCAGCAGACTTGGTTTTAATTTGTGTCGTCGTTTATTTCTGGTATTCGCTCTGCAATGGGAGCTTCTGTACGACAATGCCACGGAAACCGAGGACAAATATACTCGCTTTTGGTGACTCTATTACTAAAGGCTTCGTAAAACACGAGCCTGTGGAGACTTACTATCCTTATTCAGAAAGTCTGATGAAAACTTTAAATCGTGTGCACTCCAAAGATGTGATTTTTGTCGTCGAAAATCACGGATTGAATGGGGATCGGGCTATTGGCACTGCTCAAGCGAGGCTTAGAGCTGCCTTGAGGGAAAAACAGTACGAATGGGTAATAATAGTGATGGGAACTAATGATTTAAGTCGTTATTTTAAGTCTGATAATTTTAAGAAATTGTATGAGAATGACTCGGTATTTTTGGACAAGTTGTTCGACAATATTAAGAAATTGTGCGAAATGGCACTACGCACGAACGCCATCGTAATACTGGGTACGATCACCGCACGGCAATGCGAAGAGCAAACGCAGATTTGTGATTCCTTAATGGCTAACCGTGAAGCTCTGAATGCCAAGATTCGAAACTTTGTTATGGACACAAAGGAACTGCTGATACTAGCAGACTTTGATAAGGAATTACAGTACAAAACAATGAGTGAAAAAAAGCGCAAACAATATTGGCAAGATGATGTTCATTTCACCGAAACGGGCTACGAAGCAATGGCAAAGTTGGTCTACAAGAAGATGCTACCGTATTTGCCTGAAATGATGCAGCAACCACATGAGTCAAAGAACTTCACAAACGTTTAAGGAAATGACATTGACTTTGCGGTATATTATCATAATCGTAATAACTAATAATTGTCTTGTAAGTTGTATTATATTATTTAAAATAAACAATTTTTCTTATTTTTTCTGTGTTGGTGTTGTGTACTCAGGTGAATATGATGTTTGTGATGTTTATACTCTGAGTGTATATCCACACCGGGCACAATCTCGTATCCGGAGCAATGCCTGTGCGCGGGCAAGGATGGCATTGTCTCTGGGGAAATTGACAACCGGAACCCCTAAATTTAGGGGTTCCGGTTCTTTGTCGGCATGCACGATTGATAAACGTTAAACCAATCACAGCACAGGAAAAATTCAATTTCCCCAGAGCCAATGCCATCCTAGCCCGCGCACAGGCATTGCTCTGGGTACGAGATAGTGCAACGGGCAAGCTTGAAAAATATGCCTGGCCGGCGGTAGGAATCGAGCCTACGACCTTTGGAATACTAGCCCAATGCTCCGCCAACTGAAGGGGAAGTTCATATAAAGTAAACTTTAGTTAGATTTTCTCCTGTAGTAACACTGGATCAGTAAGAGATGAGTTTACTGGACCTTCGAGGGAGAACAGTTTAGAACTGATAAAGCTATCCAGAATAAACTATAGGGGCTTAGAGGGTACTTGGAAATTGGAAAGTGCATACATTCTGCCCTAACTCTGCCCAGCAAAGCAAGACAAACTTCTGCTCATTTCTCTTCCAATTTTCATCCAAATTTAACCAAAATTTTATCAATTTGTTCTTGGGCAATGTCCATTAGTAAATTGATATATTCAGTGCTTGATATATTTTTTTCGTGCTGACAAATACACACACATGCAGACATACAAACTAATAACTTGGGTTTCAAAGTAAAAAAAGAACTGATAGGGATGTGTGTTACTTTATTGGACCTCTAGGATGAACAGCTAAGTAGTGATAAAGTTATTCATTAAAAAATTAATGTGGTTTAGTTGGTAAGTGGTAATGTCATCAGGAGTGCACAGAAAATCTGAAGTCATCACACATGAGTGTTTGTGTCAAGACAAGGCTAATGCTCTGAGCGAAAGGAATTTCCACTTTTCTTTATTTGCCTTGTAAATTCCCCGAAGGATAAACCATTATTAATGAATAGGTAGTTGACCCGTGCTTAACTTTATACTGACATAACTTGCATGCATATGCCTAGGATTTTAATTGGATATTACAGTCGTGCGCATTCTCAGGCTTGGTCTGTAATTTCATGGGCAATTTCAGATAGTCTGGTTATAAGCACTTCGAAATACCTTGAATTTTTTCCTCGAAGAGTAAAACCGTCTGGCTTTAGACACGAAATAGGCGAGCTGTTTCTCCAAACAGGCAACTCAATTTTTTTTCTCAAATCTCAGATGTCCTTGCTTTTTAATAACTTCCCGTACGAAATTGTCTAAGCCCAGATTAACATGGATGTAAGCCCAGATTGACCTGGCTAATTTAACAATTAAAAGTTTAAGCATGATTTTTAACACTCTAGAAAGAAATTGCCTGTTTCTGTCGTAGTGTCGAGCACTAACAGTTCTAGTTGTAGATCTGTTCTCATTATAAGAATCATCTCTTATTGCTCCAGTGTTACTACTGGACGAATCCCAGGTTTAATTGAACTATTGTTAAACTAACTGTATTTATGCTGGATAGCTCTATTAGTTTTAAACTATTCTTCTTAGAGACGCCGGACTAGGCCTCCCCGAAAAATTTCCTCATCCTGAATTGTATTTCTTTTCATACTCAAATCGTTCTTGCACAGGCAATTGCATTCAATTAATGCAACTTATCCGAATATACTGATATTGGGTCGTAAATCATAATATCAATACGAACAAACCAATCGCAAATGGAACCAACGTCGTTAGTTTAAAACTGAGGAGACGAGGTTGTAAAAAGTTATAAAGTGAATTTTTAAATGCAAAATCTTCACAACTTTGGTAAAAAATTCTTCTCAGGAAACACGGTAAATGCTCTTCTGAGGCTTCCAAATGAAAATTTGTCTTCAGACCCCCCTTGGTTGAGCCTCCCAAAAAACGATTTGCTTCCGATGGCACTTCTTTAGAGGATTAGGCTGTTATTTCGACCCGAGCAAAACCGGATTACAAGAATCAATTTCCAATCACAAGAGGCGAAAGTCACGTCTGTGGCATTCAACACCCTAATCAAACTTAATGTTCCTTGGATTCTAATTTGCTTTTTCTATAAAGTTACGCCATTCATATGTATGCAACAATAAAAATAATATTCATCAGGATCCGACCCGCCAGTCCGAAACCCATTTTTTGTCTGCCTTAAAGTTGCCCTAAACCTGGACACATACTCATTCTAGTCATCCTAATTACACAAGAACTCAACTATTTGTTGCTAATGTAGTAATGTTTACCATATCAAGTTTGTTTTTCCAAACAGTCTCGTTGCCATACAGTTGTAATTGACCTCATCTAACAAAAAAATGTGACCTCGTCCACTATGTAAACCTCGTGATTTTATAATGTTAACAATCCTAAGTATTTCAAGGGCAGGATTACTCGCACATGTGGCATAAATTGTCCATTAAAGACACATGCGTGCTGGAAATCTCTTTCACAGAAGTTTTGATCAATTAAGGATGATGGGATTCCAGTGTAGTCACAGACCAACCTAATTCTCGTTACAAATTCTTGGAATTTCAAGTCGCTATTTTCCCATTGTGGCAATAAATTCATTAGGTCGGTTTCATATTTAGTCTCTATAGGCGAAATAATTATGATCGTTTTAGTCCCTGTAAAATAAAATGTCTTAATGTCAGTCACTATGAAATCTTCGTATCAATCAATCTATATACTGATATAGCTAATGAGGACAATTGGCTTAATATATGTATATGATATATCCCCAAATATCCCAACTAAGTTTTTTTCGAACTTGAATTATGGCGTCTCAACCATTTTTGCGTGTCTGGATAAGACAATCTATCAACAAACACTTTAGAAGATTCTGTTATCACCTTAAATATAGAAAAAACCCACTAATATATAATAGCAAAATCCAGCAATAAAAATACCTAAATGTAGGCGATAACAAGAATAAACCACATTCCTTTTCTCAGTTTTCTGAACTTTGCAAAGAAACATACTAGCCATATATTGAGCCATTGAGGTATCGATGGATTTCAGTAATGCGGTAGATGGTTGCAATTTCAAAAATATTCACCATTGTATAGAAGCAAGAAAATTAAACTAAATCTCTCAATTCAGTTCTTTGCCTTTAAATGCAAGATATTACTAGAGATCAATTAAAGCAATTAACATTATTTTTTCACCAAAATGAAAAGTCTTATTGGAGATTATATGTTCCTTATTCAGTGAAAAACATTAAGGGTCCAACATAGATCCTTGGGAGACACCAGGTTTACAACGCTAAAATATTTTATGGTTTACATTGCTTGCATACATTTTAAAGTTTCTTCGAACTAAATACAGTTTGATGAAAGTGTGTGTAGTGTAAACCTCTCATAGACAGTCTGGTTTACACTATCAAAGTTCCTTTGACGATCAAAGTACAGTTCATTCGAAGCGCGAGACAGAGTGAACTTCATTCAATAGACCTTTCCCCTTTTGAGTGAAATTTTGATCTAGACAAGTCTGGACAAAAATATTTCATCACAGCTTGAAAGAGCATCACAAAATTAGTAATATACCGAAGTTTCGTTGCGAAATGTTGTAAAATGCGGATAATATAGCCTTGCGAAGTTTGCCGTTTTTCAGTCATTTTGTATTACAAATGGGAAATTGATAATCAGTTTGATCATCTGATTATCAATTTCCCGTGCTTGTGTCCAGGCATATCTAGATCAAAATTTCACTCATAAGGGGAAAGGTCTATTCTCGGGTCTATTGATTCAAAGAAGACTGGTTGACATTATCAAAGTTTGAGCATGTGAACAGTATCACTCCGTTACTAAAAGATAAATCTAAACTAAACTAACTTTAGTTTAGTTTGTTTGTTAAACTTTATTGAGTACAAATTAATTCGACAAATATTCATCTAAACATACAATTAAAAGAAAAGCTGTACTCAAACGGACAAGGCACAAACTGGACGTGAAGTCCATTGCATGGTGCCCCTCCTCTTCCTAACATAGACTTTTAATTAAAGTCACAGTATCTGTACTGTACTGTACTGTACAGGGTGTCCCAAAAACCCCAAAACCACTGAAACAAAGTACTGCTAGAATCCAAACGCCTCAACACCAAACTGAACGCAAAGATACGTAAAATATGATCGACAGGATGCATATATTGTGAGTATTGAAGAAATTAATGATTGAAGAAAATATAACAATTTAATTTATGAATTATGTGAACTGGATAGCTCTATCATTTCTAAACTGTTAACCCTGGATATCCAAAATTCCCATCAATTATTGGTCAGGTGTGCGGTAGAGTCGAACTCGAAGCGTTCTTCTCACATGTGACTGAGGCCAAAATACGACGACTATCAGATAACTAGTGAATATTGCAGGAATCAAACTCCGGCAGAGGTGAAAGCTACCACCAAATAGAATACCAATGACTAGTAGTAGTATTAACATTCGCAGACAACCATTCCTAACGTTGTACATGCAGACAATCATTCCTAACGGTATCCAACAATTTGCGTCAAATACATTGCACATGCTGCTTGACTGACAAGTGTTATTTCAACAAAACGCAATTGACCAATTCGACCTTGTTCAGAAGAACGTTCCAAGCACATGTTATTTGAATTTCAAATGGTGTTTTCTTTCATTGATCTATTTTAAACCTGTACCAATATTGTGAAATACTCGCTCGAGCATAACAAAATACACAAGCAACAGAATTACACAGCAGCATCGGTAGCACAACAAGAGGTTCTAAAGTAAAGCTTGTTATAATTGAAAAGACATTTTGGCACAATGGTGTTTAAAACAATAGCAAGAAAGTAATCAATTTTTATCATGTAAAATGTTGTAATATCTACAGTGCTTTGATTGAATTATATCTAAATTAATTGAAGTGGTTTTCAAGCATTATTGATGGAATGTGCCTCTAGGTTCGACTCCTACGACTCAAAGCCGAACTGGGCTTCCAGTTTGACTCTATCAAACATTGCAAGTTTCCTCCTGGCAATATTGTTTCCGATTTTGGTAACATTGGACCAAAAAGCGATGTCGATGGTTCTTACTGGACCTCTAGGGAGAACCGTTTCGAATTGATAGAGCTATCTATTATACAACAAATAAAGCTTTGAAGTCTGCCTATATTTTTCTGGTGGCTGTATTATCTTACACACGGCAGCTGTCTATAAATAAAGTTAGTCTAGGTTAAAGCTATATCCAGTACAAAGAGAATTAGTTTGGCTTACGTTTCTTCCTGAAGCAAAAATAATCACACTCTTAGTCTTAGTATAGACAAACAAACTTTTAAAATATAAGTTCTTTGTGGGTTTGCAAGGCGATCAGTCAAACATATAATACTTTGCCTTTGGTATATAATGTATTATTATAGCACTGATGAAGATCCGGGCTTACGGATTGAAAGCTTTGCAGTAATAAATTTGCGTGGTATTTCCACAAACAAAAAGTATTCAACTTTTAAAATATTACACAACAAACAACTTTCAAGTTTTCTATATATAAAATTATAAATTCTTTTATTAACATTATGTACAAGGTATTGCATGGTAGCTAAATTCTAGAAACAAACACACGGGCTAAAAAAATACGGTACGTTTCTTTATATATGTTACGATAAATCGACAGCTTGCAAGTCCGTCGGTGTTGTCGGCTGTTCGGCTCCTAACTTCATTTCGTTGTCTTGTCCTCCGATAACATTCAATTGAAGTGCGTCTTCGATTAAATCTTGGCAAGAACTGAGGCATTCCTGCGAAAAATGAAAGATTTGTTAAACCTGTGCGTTCGGCGTTGGCTGCAATGTAGTTTTAAGAAACATGTTATTGATGAATAAATGCGTTCTCCAACGCCAGATGCCATTTTATTCTCGAAGATTTTAATGCTTAATCAAACGAAAATGAGAGTTGATGACACTTTTTGCTTATTTGACCGGTATTATTTTTAAGCTGTAAAAATTATATTAATAGACTGATTTTTTAAACCATTACAACGCACAAAGCTGTCTTCTTCTAGTAATTAATCAAAATAATTCGCATTTGCTGCTCAAAAATGGGTTAAGAAAAAGGATTGGCAAGTTCTGTGATCGAGCATAAGCCTTTTCCAAAGACGTTACGACGAAGGGAAAAAGACAAGTCAAATAATTAATTTACGGTGCATTAACGAACATTTTAATAGTTAAAAAAATAGGTTAACAAGTCGGGGTATTGGCAGATACGATAGGTCAGCCTGATTATCCCTTCGTGATCAATTTGATCTTCTGGCACTAGTCTGGGTCAAAATGAAGCCATGTATACTGCCTAGAGGAATGGATAACAGGAATTTCCTGCACTTTTACTGAAAGAATTCCATGCATTCTTATAAATAGGAAATTAGGGATATTTCAGTCTAAATATCTGATCTGGTAGACTACTCTAGTCAAAACATCAGAATCCAGGAAAGAAAAATATACAATTTCAGAATTTCTTGGAACTTAAAATGCTTGTTTGGAATAGTTTAATGTCAAATTTGTTAAGTTAGCTATGTGTGCAAAGACAGCAATTTTCACATGCTTTCATTAATTAAAGAAAACCCCTTCATGGTTTTTTTAAGGGGTAAATGGGTCATTCGAGAAGAGATCCACGACCCCCTGATGAGGACATCTGCGCCATCCTAACGGGGGAAATGTATATCTTTTCAAAATAGCAAAAATACTAGGCAATCTGAATGGGGTGAGGGGGTTAACGTGCAGTCTCTTCCTCTGTAGGGGACGTGTAAATCAGTGTTCTCTGGAACAACTGAATATGAAAAAGGTTTGAGCGCCCCCTCCTCTTTTGGTCTTCAACATAAAATACTCTGTATGAAAAGAAAGATTGGCCACCCACCTGCCTAAGTAATAGGGATGAGTGCCCCCTAGCCCTCTACTAAAGTCTAAATAGAAGTCGCTCCTCGCACCCCCTGAATGTGCGAAGGTAGAGTGCCCCCTTCCCCTTAACATTTATAATATATAATTTTAAACATTTTACCAAAACTAGTAAACTACTAGGTTTTTAAAGGTTTAGTTTAAAAGGCACAACAAAATATAAAGCATAGCCTTTATCGGTTTTAACTTTCATCAGTTTTGACTTACGCGAATTTGGTACTTAAATATTAATGTGTCAAATCATAATGGATCACATATCAAGTGCCAGACAATATTTACAAAATATTTTTTAATAAAATCCTAACATACTTGTTCAATGTTCGTGATTTGGTGCATATGTCCAAGCATTTCTTCTCTTGTTGTTTGAACTTCGTGTTGAAAGCCGGCCATTGCAGCGCAAACTGCCCCTGCCGCTATCATACTTGGTGTGAAAAGCACAAATCTGAAGTCTGAATTATGGAGAAAAACAACAAAAATAAATAATAAATAAAGCAAACACCAGTTCCCCTATCTTCCAAAGCAAATGCTTTCAAGAAACACCGCGTGTTAAAATCAAGCTTTTCCTGTCCTCGTGTTTTGGGCTTGCGAAATTTCCGCAATTTTGCGAACAAAATAATTTTATTCTAGCACTCTCGCATCGATAAAACGGCTTTTTTTCGAGTTAAAAAAATCCAAAAAATACTTCCTCACTTTTTCACGGACAATAATCATACAAATTACATGTTACGGTCGAAAATTTGCAATAGAAAAATTTGAAAAAAATGTTTTATGGAAAATTGTTTTGGCGCCGGAAACATATTAAAAATTCGGCATGGCACGTTTAATGAATAGTTGGTTTATGAAGAGGAAACTCGCATCGGAAAAGCCAAAACACGAGATTTTGTGCAGGAAAGAAGCCGATTTTTTCCCCATTTCTTTGGTTTTTGCTTATTTTTTAACCCACACTCACCAGTGCAACATAAGGCGATGAAAGTCGACGCATGTTTCCGAACTAGCGATTGTCGTTCTTCGTTCAATTGACATGGCAGTCTTGCAAATATATGGTCCAAAAAATCATGTGGGGTTATTGCTGAAATATCCCATTGTAGTTTATCCAGAACGATTAATTCCCAGCTCTAGAAAGGAGAAAGGGCTTTTGTAAGACTAAAAAATAGCATCAAATATCAGCACTCTTTCAACTCTCTGTGAAAGGGTCTTGAATTGATGCGAAGTGTATTTTTTACTTTTTATCATAAATGTATTCCCATGCTGTTTTATATCAAGCCATCTTCTGCCAATTTATTGATAAAAAATAGTTGTTTTTTTATTTACCATAAGTTCGTCTAATGTGATAGATTTATCTGTATATATAACAAGTTTCTCCGCCGACAGTGGCTTCGCTTCTCTCAATTTGCTTGCAAGGAACATGCAACTGGCACCAAGGAGTTGTAAACGACTCTTTTTTATTTCTTGTATGCTTAAAAATCTGTCTAAATAGTTCATAGATAGTGGAAAAACTTCTTCTTCGCATTGCTGTTCGTCGCAAACCTAAAGGAATTATTAAAAAAACAAATATAAATAAAACAATAAATAACATTGAGCAATAACATCCCAAAGCCGCCCGCACGATATTATATAGAAAGTCGATTAAACCATGGGGTAGCCAATTTAAAAATATTTTTAGAAAAAATATTGGCTCCACAAACCAATGCCTACAATGGGGAATTATTTAGGATTTATTAAAAATAATTACTTCAAGCATCTAATACCTCAAGCATCCAAGTGGCGACCATTTTCCGCATGTAAGGTTTTACATCTTTTTGCACGACTTTGAAATAGGCGCCATTTGGCATGTAGCGCTCTTCGTACGCAAGTAAATTGTTCAGAACTCGATCATCGTTTAATAAAACGGGATCTTTATAGCTTTGCCGAAGCCCAAAACGTTCTTGACAGTGTAGGTCCATGGTCCAAATCGCACAAAACGAATAGCTACCACGTTTTAAAGTTGTCAATAAAATACAATTCTCCGATCAAGGTGTTCGAAGCGTTGAACGTTGATGAGATGGTCTGTGGCTGGGGGATGAAGCAAATCGCGTATATATTTTGACCGACTGCCGTCAAATCCCGTTGCCTCTACTTGACCCCTGCACAGACCCCGTCTTAATGTTATAAGCATTTGGTTATTGACGGATATCTTGAGCAAAAACAGTAGCTAGGCAGATATTCATCCGCGCTAGGCAACCGAATTAATTTGGGTTCAAAGTTAATTTATAGCTTCCGTTTGATCCGCCAATCACAACGCGAGCGGCGCCTTTGATCCAAAAATTTGCACCATCATTTTCGAGTGAAAGTCGGAAGAAAAATACGAGGTTTTTTTTGCTGGTTTGATTTAAAATCCCTCAAACTCGAATCGAAATTGGTATGCTCCTTCGTAATTTCGTTCTAGATCTTCAAGGGTTTCCTTAAAAACGATTATTTAGTTGCTGTCAACGTGTAATTGATCACGGATACATATTTGTGATTTTTGCAATTTGTGTGACAATTCGCCAGAACCAAGGGTCCAAAATATTGTCATACGATATATATCCCGCATGTTTCCCCGCCAAAGCAATTTCTACCGAATATACTCTTAATCCAAATTAGCTTAAAACATCAAAAACTCTATGGTGCCTTATTGTGATGGGGGATATTCACCCTTAAACTTGGCCTTACCTAAATGTACCAATATATTTTGCTGTAGAAATTTCACGCCGGCATGTTATTTCGATCTTGTTGAACTCTCACCTCCGTGTTATTAACACCTGGCCAGAAGCATGCTCTTGGCAGAAAATGTGTTTGCGAAAGTTGCTTATCTCGATCAGATATTGTTCAGGTTAAATTCAGAAATCATTTGGCCACTAATTACATTAAAACCCATGTGACGTTTGCACAAAAATTCACCATTAAACGAATAGGTGCTGCGCGGCAGACGACGGCGAACTGGCAGTTCAGTGAGTGATAAAGTAATGTAAATTATTTTTTATTATATGTACTTGTCTTGCGCGCATTTGGTGAAAATAAATACAATCATTTCAGAGATACATGTAATTTAAGTGTTATTTTCTTGTTACTATATGAAGTGTCGACATTTTCAGAACAGTTGCCAGTTGGGCACCACATAAATTGTAACTCTTGCTGAGGTTGCATACAAAGACAGCTCCCAAAATGTGAATTGTTTTGCTTAGCAATAACGGAAATCGTTTCCCTCGCTCGCTTTAATTTGTTTTGCCCGAAAGTATTTAAGCAAATAACAATATTCTCTGGGATTAAGTTAAGTCGTGGAATGCCAGAATCCTAATGGCCAATGGTCATTAATAGACATTATCTTGCACAATTCTGCTCGCGACCGGTAAACAACATTATAAAAGAGAATAGGAAATAAGCCCACGACTAATTCCCTACGCACTCATTAAACACGTTGGAATTTAAAAACTTCGTCATTCGATTATAATTATTTTAAGGGAATGTTTGAATGGCTGAGCATAAAGGCTAGCCCCCTACCCGTTGGCTGTTGGTTTCGACCAAATTCTTATATTGGCCTTGTGCAAAATAGATGCAATTAAGCATTTGCCCGCTCCCGTAAATGTTACACCACCATATAAAAGACCACTACATTTTCACATTCTGGTAAGTTCTGATTGCCCATCGGGCATCGGCGTCTCGGCCGCAAGATGGTACTTAATTTAAAGAAAAGCACACCCATTTAGGAGGGCTGGCACTTCGCTCTAACAAAAGACAAGAACGTTGGCTAAGGATTTTCAATGGCAGACAGAATCACGTCCAGAAGGCCCTTTGTGCATACTCATAAATTTAGTGCAGAAATTTCCATATGAATGCGAAGGCCTTGAAGCAATTTCCGTGCAATTTCAAGTGCTCAAAGGCGCACCATATTGCGCCGTATTGGTAAGTCAAGGTGAAACACCGGAATATCATACTGTCTCGCTGAAAACACATCAAATATCGAACTATTCCTTCCCATCTCTGTATTTTTTAGCAATTCCTGTTATGCCGTGAAGTTGTGATATACGACGGATGTATTGTGAGGAATTGAATAGGGGATGCCATCCGTCAATGTTGATGTTATTTTTCCAATAGGTCGGTAGTTTTCACAAAGCGCTGTCCTGCAACAGATAATGGCCAACCTATACATTCTACAGTTATCACAGTGTGAAAATAACGTTAATGTTTTTTCATTACATGTCATGCTCAATGTATTTGATAGTAAATGAATCAAATAACGAGATTTAGTTTAATTTAATTTCCCGCTCTTGTAAGTTTTGAAGATGTGTTTCCTGAAACGCGGTTTATAAAAGGTTCTGAATAAGTTAATAAATAAATAAATGCACCATTCGTGCAATCAGTGGATACAAATGAGAACACGCATGTCACACGTGGCTATAGCTAGCTTGTTCCCAAGTGTTGACAAGTCTGGAACAACTATAGAGGAACAACTTGTTATCACCTTGTTACAAGGTCGATGGCGGTAACAGACTTGCTGCAAGTTGTTCCAAAAAGCCTCCTTATATACAGGCTGTTCGTAACAAACTATAATTACGTGCAGACGGTATCAGACTGGTTGGAACTTAACTTGTTGCGAGTATCAGACTGGTTGGAACTTTAACTTGTTGCGAGTTACCGTCATCAACCTTGTAACAAGATGATAACAACTTGTTCCAGACTTGTCGCAACAACTGGGAAACAAGCAATGGGAACACATCCTGATATAGGCTTGACAACAACCTTGTTGCAACTCGTTTCCTGATCTGTAACAATTTGCGCGTTTCACGTGTGTTAAAAGATTGCTGTAGATGATCCGGAGCGGCTTTGCAAAACAAAACAAAACAAAACAATTATATTTTAATATTTATCACCAAGCAAAACTACTATAATATTAAGCTCTCCGTAGCAGCGCGAAAAAAGCACCTATCGATCCGATACGGAATGTACAACCTTCAGAAGCTGAGCAATAATTCCTCTGAAAATATAGCGTTCCTAAAAGGTACTGTTTGACTCGTTCATTCACGTCGCTATACAGAAAGCTATATCCGGTACGGTGTTAGACTGAAACTCATTTTCATGGAATGCAACATATTCAAAATTATTTTCAGTTTACATAGAAGAGCAAAGTTCAGCGCATGTGGCCGTCGTGTTTCTTTAATCTTGATCATTGATGTTGATCATCGCGGAATGTCTAGAGATCCTTGAGATTAAGTCGATGGCGTGGTTCCGGGAATCAAGTGGACGTTAAAACCTCGAACGTTCGTAAGGAATTCGTAGCCAAGAGAGCTAGTAAGCTAGCTGTTTAATTAATATGTATATACCATGTACTTCCGTACATTGCAGTTATTGGCCAAAGGAGGAACTATTAAAACTAACTTTACAGTCAGTCGTACCGCGAATCAAGTGGATTTTTAGTCTCGAAAGATCGCTAAGAAGTACGAATTTGAGTAAAGCCAGGGAGAGTTGGATGTAATTAAAACCTCCAGAGCCATCTCATTCCCGATTGTTCTACTACAGGAGGAAACCTAAACTAAACTAACTTTATTTGCACATCCGCATAGTTCTATCAGTTCTAGAACTGTTCTTCCTTCCATCGTAGTTATCGATCCAGATTATTGTCAAGATTGACGTTTACGGCAAACCGTTAACCGGCAAACTTCAAAGCGCGGCATTTGAAGCTACGTTCTACAAGTTTTTGAAGGTTTCGACAAAGTTTTAGCTAATTAATTCACAAATTGTCCTAACTTCGACAGCTAACAGTTGACCTCAAAGTACGACTTGAAGTTTGCCATTTGCGATCTGTTGTAAACGTCATTCTTAACCTCTCTGGAGGTGAAACCTATAAACTAACTTTATTCATATACTGTCTCTACCAGTTCTGAACTGTTCTTCCTACAGGTCCAGTAGTAGCTCTACCAGTTCTAAACTGTTCTCCCTAGAGGTCCAGCTAGGATCATCTCTTATTGATCCAATGTTACTGCAGGAGGAAACCTAAACTAAACTAACTTTATTTATACTGGATAGCCCTACCAGTTCTAAACTGTTTTCCCTAGGCCTAGAGGTCCAGCTAGGATCATCTCTTACTGATTCAGTGTCACTTTATACTGGATATAGCCCTGCCAGTTACTGAGTAAACATTAAGCGGGGTTAGGGTTCCAAAGTTCGCCAGGAATTACGTGATGGCGAAGTGGTTGTGAAGAAACGTGGACTATAGCCGAACTTTATTTATATACAGTCTACACAGGGTAGCTCTATCCGAGAATCCAGTGGAATAATACTCGAAAATTTGCCAGGAATTTAAAGTTAAGCGGAAAGGGGCAGCAATTAAAATGGTATCATTGCACAAATGTCAAGATGGAGCGTGAGAGATTGACGAGATTTTCCCGTTATATTTCTGCTACTTGAGACTTGCTATCGTCCTCTCTTTGGCACTGCACATCTTTAAAACAACACTTGAACCAAACTACGTACAGTTTTAAGCTAGTTTTTGGAGCCGAGATATTTAACGCGGAAAAATCTCGTAGTCGTATTATATTTCGTAGCCGTATAGTCAAATCTAAAGCTCCCTATATTAACCTGAGCTGCGGCAACTGCCTAAACTGAATATTATTATTGTTACTGAAGAAAAATGCATTATAGAGAATTATTGGGACAGCTGGGTAAAAATTTTGAACAAATTAAATTTATAAATCGCTCCATCAGTTCCATAGCCCATAGGTATCTTTTCACAGAAGAGTGCTCTACATTTTTTGCAGGACATGTTAGAAAATGTTGGTCTTGACCAAAAAAACACCAAATGTACTACGTTAGGAAAATGATGACTATATTGCTAACAGAACTACGTCTGATTACATTTTTTGCTGCCGAATTAAGGAATGGGAAAATCCGTAGAGATTTTCAGGGATTTTTTCGAGGTGTATTTTTGAAGTGACACATGTACACGCACCCCTAGTTGAGTCGCAGGTGGAAAAATATCACTCGGTTCTACTGGGAGTTCCAGCGACTCTACCGGACCGAACATCACGTGCTTTCTCAAGGGACTTTGATTTCCTCCTACAGTAACACTGGGTCGATAACGGGTGGTTTTTAGCGGTGTTGAAATGCAAGATACAGGTCAAGCACGTCTTAGGCATGTGGCGCACATGTTTGAGTGCTGCTTCGCCTCATGGACAAGGTGTTCTCCAGACTTCGATTAACTTTGGAACTTAAAAATTCCCCATTCCCAGGGTAAAAATGTAAAAAAAAACAAGTCGCATTCTTTGCGTGGTTTTTCAAAACAATCCGTAGTCAACCACAACTTGAAAAATTCCTCATTCTCCAAACAAAAAATTCCATATACTTCATGCAAAGATTGCAACAATTTCCGCCTCATCCCCCTCCCCAGATTGAGGTGAAATTATAACCACGCTAGTACACGTTGCGAGAATCGATCCTTGATCGAATTCATGAAAGGCACGTCGCCACACAGGATCAAAGATTTTGACCACCTACGCCGGCTAGTGGCCACATGACTGACCTTTCGAGTTGATAATGAGTTTAACTTGTTGCTGGATGATTCGAAGCCAGATATATGTATATAAAACTGTGTTACTATCCTATAATTAAACGTCTAAACCGATTTGCGGTGATTTCTCAAGATTGAAGGAAATCTTAGCTTTGCGCAAAGCGATTCGTAGACGGAATTTGAACTAAATCGCAGTGTTTTTATTCCCCTAACGTGTCTTAATGAACCAAATTTGACCTTTGACGTGCACAATATTCTTTCTCGCTGTTTTACCTGCCGAGTTAATTGGTCTCCGATAGCTTGATTTTGTTTACTTTGTGCCATCATTTATAGGATGCTTGGTTCAAAATTAATTTCGTTTGCGTAGAACAATCTGATAGGCGTGATAGCTTGCGCATCAGAGACGTTTCGGCCCCCGCAAAAAGGGGTGGTACTTCCCTGTATCCAGTGTCTCCAGTGTGCTGTTGGTCTAGCGACACTGCGACAGCATCTACTACAGAAGAAAACCATAGCTAGTCGGATCGAGAAAACCTGCGCTGTCGGATAAACTGGGAGCATAGTCAGACAACTGCGTATCAAACCTCGGTCACAGGGGTAAAAGGCACATGGTAACGTCTGCACATGCGCAAGAAAATATTAATGCATTACGCAAGAGAAACTAGTTTAATTAACTGAAGGGATTAACGATTAAACTCTTGTTGCACAGTTTACACGGTATGCTAATGCGCTTTATATGAACGAGTGCGAGAAAAAGAACTGGCGAGAAAATAACTTTTGACCAGATTGATTTCAATACATCAGAAACAGAGCTATTTATAATATGATTAATATCTACCCACACATTTGGGGAAGTGTTTTGTCCAGTCCATAGATCATTATGCCATGTTAACTTGCAAAGTTAAATATAATTTTCCTGCGGGGCGCCACTCACGCGAAATTAGCCGCATCATAGAACCATTGGTGAAATGGTAGTCAAAACACCATAGTCCAGTCACAGATTTCGTAATTTTTCGCGTAATAAAATCCTACTGCGTGGGTAGAAGTGGATTTTGCGTCCTGTATTTGCACTTGTCAAAGTATGTAAACAACATTCCGAAGACGCCATGTGAGCCTCATTAAAATTCCATGTTCCCGTCCGGCAGGTGACGAATCATGTATCCGGTGTAACTGTAAACATTAGGGCGCCCTGTGGAACTTTTTGTACAGTTACGACTAACAGCCGTCACGCAAGGACTTCTTCCCAAAATTTGCGGTAGATCTTTTTCAATTTGTAATCTGAGGATTCTTTGTTGCCTCTACCTTATACGCATTGCATAAAACTTCACTTTATTTATACTAGGTAGTTCTATCAATTCGGAATTGCCGTCCAGTTGCGAGTCCAGCAGATTTGTTAGATCCGGTGTTTATACTACAAAAGGAAACCTAAACTAACTCTATTTATATTGGATAGCTTTATCAGTACTAAACTGTTCTAGATACAGCAGAGACCATCACTTGTTGATCCAGTGTTACTAGAGAACGAAACCTAAACCAATCTAACTTTATTTATACTGTAGAGGTCAAGTAAACAAAACTATAAACTTTATGTATGCTAGATAGCTTTATCAGTTCTAAACTGTTATTCCTGCAGGAACAGCAGAGGTCATCTCTTGTTGATCTAGTGTTACTACAGGAGGAAACCTAAACCAATTTAGATATTTAAACTTCACAGCTCTCCCTAGAGTGTTTGGATTTATGGTTAGTATTACCGCATTAGAAAACTGTTAGAAAATCGATAGGCACTCGTTGAAGAAAGGCTTGCATACTCACATCAAATCCTGTCTTAAAACGGAAAATCTTCGCTGGTTTTCAAGCTGCTTCGCAGCATATTTCCAACATTCGCAAGTATTCGATAGGTATTTTGGGTGTGTAAGGCAATTGTGTGGGCGAGTACCAATATCTCAACACACCAGATTGAGTCCTACTCACGCGCAATATGCTTATTTCCTCGTCAGATGAGGCGACGACATGCGCGCAGTTCGAAAAGCGCGCAATCACCAGAACCCCACTCTCTGTAAATATTTATATGAAACATGCTGCTTAATGCGAACGTGTCGAGCCGCTCCCCAGAGATATTTATACTGAATGAACAGTTATAAAAATAAGTTTGAGACGAATGGCAGTTAATCCAAAAGATAAGATTTCCGAGCTTTTGGTTATTTTAGTCACCGTGGGAATTAAATCGCTGATCTAAATATTACATCAGGATAGAGAACCACTGTTAGATCAGTGGATAGAACATGCAGAACGGTCTGACCACAGGGTGCCCGACTATGATTTATTTTAGAGCATTAATACCCATTTTCATACAGAGATATTGATAAATAAAAATATACAGAGCATTAATACCCATTTTCATACAGAGATATTGATAAATAAATAAGTCATAGTCGGGCACCCTGTGATCTGACCCGATGCTCGACTTCTATTGAGATTTCAAAATATTTTCTCATACCTATCCTCACTTCAATATAAGAATAGGAGTTCAAAAAGGCTTCTAAATGAATTATATACGAAGTTACGTTAGACATAGTACGCCAGACCAACATATATTAAAAGGGAACGTTCTTTTATTGAATTTTTAGCTGGCTCACAACATCTTATGTACACAAAGCAATTACAGCTTTTGTGATTTTACATTGTCTATTGAAACAAAGTTAATATGAACCTAACCGATAAATCGGCGTAAATGTTTGTAATGATTTCAAATATTTGCGCTTTCGTAAACATAGTTATAATTGTAAATAAATCAGTGCTCAGCGTTTTAAAACTAAAGAAGTGTTCCTTGTTCAAAAACCCACATGACTGGCATTTCAAACAAATAATTTTTAAATTTTTTGTCCACGGCGTTTCGAGGCAATTTCATCAATTTACCTTCTAGTCATTGTCTCGGCCATTGTCCCAGAAGCGTTGGCAAAGTACTACGAATCCAAATTAGTGTAAAAACGTGGGCATAAACACACATAAGCAGTGGTATTGGCGAGTTCTACTAAGCACCACAGTCACAGAATAAAGACAGACACTGCCCCCCCTGAAAACATTCAAAATGCTGGCTTGGCGTTCAGGGGGGGGGGGGGCGAGTACACTGGCTAGAAACATAGCGTGGCAGCAGTTACGGATTTTTGCTTGAGTCGGACCTCTGTATCGTATTTACTCTGTGCCATCGTGCAGCAGATGGTGATGCAACGTGCATTTATCAAATTTGTAAAATAATGTTAATTGTATGCCCTAGTTTTGTAGTTGAAGGCACATAAATAAAGTATAGAGATTTGTTTTAATTTGCTTGCCCTATCCAGTCAGTTCTATATACATCTGAGTAAAAACTCCAGTTTCAATCTCGTTCCCCGAGCCTGCGATCCTCGGTTGCCGGAAACCAGGAATCCTGGCCAAGATTGAACTGTGCATTCCATATCAACGGCCAATCAGATTCCTCCCTGAAACGGATTATCCCAGAGCCTCAAGTTCCTTCTCGAGGATCGCAGGCTCGGGGAACGAGATTGCTCCAGTTCAAAAAGTGAAGCCAAAGATGGCGGAGTTGACCGTCCAGTGCCAGTCCCTTTCTATAGTTTTTGCCTACGCGGTTAACACAAGGCTACAAGGCGTGTGCTGAAATTTCGTATTTTGACTTCGATTTAAAGAATATTATGCATGGTTTTATGAACTGATAACTTGGTCAGCGATACTATCTGAAAAATGGTATGAAAACTGTTACAAATTTTGGACGTCAATGTCTGCCATATTGGCTTCACTTCTCAAATAGGTCAAACTTCTCTCATAGGCCGAAGCTCTTACTCCAGTATATATCGAGCTCACTGCCCAATAGAGCTGTGCGGTTCCAAAAATTTTATCTCGGTTCCGGGTTTTTTGGAACAGAAAAACCTCGGTTCGGTTATTTTCAAAAAAGAACAGTACAAATGTATGAACTCATTTATGTATGTTTCGAGCATTTTACTAAATAGATGAATTTATGCCTTTGTAAGTTTGTATAAATCTCTGAATATTTTAAAAGAACAATTGGAATTTATTTATGAAGATGTAATATTTGTTAGTTTTTTAAAAAAATTAAATCAAGTTCACAACAATAACTATTACAACTAAAATATCAACTATTTGAGCACTTAGTACAGTGCATATTGTGCACAAAGAGTATCTTGTTATTTTCCAAACATTTCAACCTGCAATCAGGTGGGCGTTTGGCGGGCGTTAAACGGGAAATTAAAACCGAAACTACCTGTTCTTTTGCGTATAATTTTTCGGTGCTAAAAAAGTACCGGAAAAACCGAATTTTTCGGTTAACTGCACAGCTCTACTGCCCAATCATATTAAACACCATCTGCTGCGCTGCAAATGCTTACTAAAACACACTAATTGCGAACCACTAGAAGTCAAAATTAATAAATTTGTTACTCTAGATTTCATGTCTGTTCTCCGTTTTTAAAGAATTTCCGTGAATAGGTGGGGTTTTATCTTTATTGATGTCAAATCCAAAGTGGTTGGGGGAGGAACCTAGAGGAAATAGTCTGGGGTTCGTCGAGTCACGTGTGGTTCGCCTCGCCTTGGCGCTGGATCAAACTGCAAGCTAAAAAAATAGAATAGGCTTAGGAACGAAGGCTATCAACATGGCCAAGGGTTCCTCTTTAATTAAAGGGATATGGTAACGTATTTTTTTATTATTTCATTTGGAAGAACTTTTAAAATTATATGTAAATCTCCTTTACCGATTTTGCGTAGTTTTATTATTTCTTGAGATATTTTGACAGAAAAATCACAAATCAGCGAGCATTCTTCCATCTTGGATTTTGGTGGATACGCATAACCAGGGTCATACAAGTATTTTATCCAGAGAGCAATTGGTTATTATGAGCACAAAAGGTAAAAACATCAGACAGGCAGGCAGGCAGGCAAACAAACAAACAAACAAACAAACAAACAAACAAACAAACACGCAAACTAACAAATGAATGTAGCTGTGTGCTAGAGTCAGATCTTCATTACAATCAGACTGACTAACCATACACAGCTAAGTTTGATGTAGGCCAAGAGCAGGACACGAGGGAATTATGAATCCCTTATGCTCAAAGGTCGGCCAAAATTACAAAATTTCAATGGGCCACCCTGGGACTTAATAGGTGAAATTTGAACAGTACTATAAACAAGTTCTTTGTAGGTTTGCATAGCGATAAAACATTACTTTTTGTTTGTGGAAACACCACTGCTTTCGAACGGTAAGCCATGATCTTCTGTTCATCAGTGCTGATAGTAATAATATGTGACTTGTACTATAAATACTAATAATTAATTAACTCCAACTTACAATGAATATTTTAGAGAGTCGTCCAATTCCATAATGGCCGCTTGATTTCCACAACGATAGCAATAATTAGGAGCACTAAATATTGTAACCACGTTACGATCATGACACCAGTTATAGCCCTGGAAAAAATCACATAAAACAAACAACTGTCTTAGATAGAAATTATCTAGCTGTCCATGGGCTTAGCCAGATCGCCTGTCCACTTGTCATTTGGACGCGTATTTTTAAATGTGGACGGGCAAAAAAAGTTAAAACTCCAGTTTTTTTCTGTTTTTTTTTAGTAATTAGTACGACCGCAAAAGCTTAAATTTTGCTATAACTAAACATCAAAATTCAATAGCTGGCCCTTACTGGATCTCTAGGGAGAATAGTTTTGAACTGATAGAGCTCAACAAAATTAATAAAGTTAGTTCCACTGTACTTCTCCACATTTGTATTCTGAAACTGATGGTGTAAACTCTCATTATTGCAGAATTCTATCATAGTTTATCTCAACCCTACCATGTGGTAGTTGTGATATGTTTTAATCATTGAGTACACACCAACAAATGTCAAGTGCAGTTGGAGACCTTTAGAGAGAACAGTTTGATACTGATAGAACAGCTTTCCTCCTGCAGTAACACTGGATCAATAAGAGATATTCTTTACTGGGCCTCTAGGAAGAACAGTTTTGAACTGATAGAGCTATCCAGTATAAATAAAGTTAGTTTAGTTTAGGTTTCGTCCTGTAGTAACACTGGATCAATAAGAGATGATCCTTACTGGACCTCTAGGAAAAACAGTTAAGAACTGATAGAGCTATCCAGTATAAATAAAGTTAGTTTACCTCCATAACCAGCTGGTGAGCTCTAGATACAAGTGTCAGTCCATTTGTATGATTAAACTGTTCTGATATATCTTGACCAAATGTGTACCCTGCTCCACGAGGTGAGATACCCCACCCGCCACGATCATCAGGGTCACTCCAGAGGAGGTCACACATTGGACCCTGGGGGGAAAAGACAGGTGGTTAGTGGGTGCATGTGTCTTGACCAGACTTCAATCCCAATGCAATATGCAATTGTCTGTTTATAATTTCACCTCAGTTGTATGAGAAGAGTGCTTCCAGTTTGACTCTACGAAATGCAGATTTTTTCCACATAATTCAGATAAGGATGGGGCAAGTAGCAAAGGGTATATCAGGCTTATCAGACATACAAAGAGTGCAATGTTTTAAGGGGCAATGTGGCAAATGAAGGATGATGCAGATTTTTCAAGGGGGTTCATATTTTTCAGTCGAGTTTCAGATTTTACAAGTGGGTACACAGAATTATACTGAGGGTGTAGCCAGCAGACAATTGTCTTCTAAAAGTAAGCTTACTTCATGAGGGACTTCTTGTATCCTATCCAGAGCTCGTATATGATCCAAAGTATCGATGGACGGTGACAAACCACCGTGAAGACAGAATATCTGAAACAAAAACATATCAAAGAAATAAGAATTAACCCATTCAAAACCAGCGCTCCCCCCTCTGAGTAAACTCGTCTTGTGTTAGACAGACTAAAACAATAAAGAAGGGCTCACTGGGCCTGGGGAATTGCACAACAGGTTAAGCGTCATGTACATATATCCATGCTTGAAGTTCAGTCCTACCTGGCCGTCAACCAGCGCAGTAAGGGGTAGATAATCAAATAAATCTGTAAAATATTTCCACACGTTTGCATTGCCATATTTTCGTAAACATTCGTCATAGAAACCATAGACTTGTGTGATCTGCCGACTCTCGTGGTTCCCTCGAAGGATCGTAATTCTGTGTGGGAAACGCACCTAGATAAAACCCACAATACTTGGTCTTTAATTTAAGTTATTTTAACCATGATTATGATACCAACAGCCACAAACAGTTGGGGACAACTTGAGACACAAGCCTACGCTTCACTCAGACCGTCAGAAAAACAAACAAACAATGTAGCTGTGTGCTAGAGTCAGATCTTCATTACAATCAGACTGACTAACCATACACAGTAAAGTTTGATGTAGGCCAAGAGCAGGACACGAGGGAATTATGAATCCCTTATGCTCAAAGGTCGGCCAAACTAAAGACTGCTAGGAAAAGAAACAAAGGCTAGTTTATACTTTCTACCTCAAACTTGGCATCCAGAGACCTTAAGATTTACACTTACGTCAGGCTGCTAGTAAATCACAACTTTAAATCCCATTTGAAGGTTTTCAACCACTACAGTCGATTTCACGAAACTTTGACCACAAATGTTCCGAACTTTGTTACAAAGTTCACAAGTTCGTTGCAAAGTTCGGAAGTTCATATTGGAATTCACAAGCATATTTTGTAAACAAAGTCCCCGATTGGTCCCTGTAGTAAAAGAAGCCAATCAAATGCGTTGTTTACAAACTGGTTTGTGACTCTCATTATGAACTTTTGAACTTCGCAACAAAGTTTGGAACACGTAAGTACGGTAGCTAATTCATGCTTCAAATTAAATGCACAAAATGCCCTAACTTCAAATACCTAATAGCGGTCTCCAAAATACTACAGGTCTCTAGAATCACATAATAACTGCCTGTCACAAATACTTGACAGTACCTCAGTATCTCAAACGTGGAGGTCGTTGTTTGTGTCTGAACTGCCTGAAAAAGATATCTCTAACATGGCGGTTCAGTGTAGGTACTATTCTACAATGCACCAACGTCAGGAGGACGATACTAAGCTCGCAAAAAACTGGGCCTAATTGCTCAAAAGTCAGACAACTGTTCAAGCCCACATACCTTTAATGCAACCAATAGGGTGACAGTTTCAACGGAGTAATAACCTCGATCAACATAATCTCCCATGAACAGATAATTTGTGTCGGGAGATTTGCCGCCAATCCGAAATAATTCCATCAGATCGTGAAACTGGCCGTGAACGTCGCCACAAACTGTTACCGGACATTTCATTTCTTGTACATTGGATTCTTTTGATAAGATTTCTTTTGCCTGATCATCAGGAAATAGAAGGGAGTTTGATTTATGATTTTTTCTGTGTTGGTGTTGTGTACTCAGGTGAATATGATGTTTGTGATGTTATTCTGAGTGTACATCCACACCGGGCGAGCTGACCACGTACTGTAGCTCAGTTGGCAGAGCATTGGGCTAGTATTCCAAAGGTTGTAGGTTCGATTCCCACTGTGGCCAGGCATATTTTTCAAGCTCGCCCGGTGTGGATATACAAACAGCAATTGCTGCCAATGACTGTCTAAAGCTACGTTTACACGCTGCGATTAATCGTGTACGATTCGTTTTCTGGCGTATGTCATTGAGTAAACACGCGTAAGCTGGCTACATTTGAAATTTCTGTTTAACGAAATGGCAATGAATTATGGTGCCAGCAGTCATTTTAATATGTCAGCATACGAATCGTACACAACAAATCGTAGCTTGTAAACGTAGCTTAAAGCATCACATAGGTCTGGCTAAACTGGACTTAAATAGGCCCATTTATATAAGCAGCGGCCTAAATAAGCAGCGGCTTAAATAAGTTGCGAACGACTCGTATATACAGTCAATTTGCAATAAGCCGCGGCTAATTTAGGCCTAGCTTTCAAGCCCGGGCTTACTTTAGCCGCGGCTTGCAAACAAATTGACTGTTTATACGAGTCGTTCACAACTTATTTAATTAAGCCGCGGCTTATTTAGGCCGCTGCTTATTTTTGCTCGTATAAATGGCCTAAATGTCAATGTATTTTGTTGACTATCATGATACAATAATCAGCCAATTATTGATTATTTCAAAATGGCCGATTAATCAGCCGATTATTTTTGATTAATCGGCTCATCTCTGATATATAAACAGCCAGACATCTGGCAGTTAATCCTAGGTTTGCAGGCAATCACAGAAAACAACCTAATAAAATCACATGACATCAAAATGACGCAAAAATATATGGAAACTTGCCACAAATATAAACAACAAACGACTACAAACTACATAGAATCAAAAATGACACTGCAACAAAATTCCTTAGATCCTTGATCGCCTTGAAAATGCATCATATTTAAACCGTTAAAAACATATGTCCGAATGCGCTTGACATCAAGGGAGGCAGAAGGCGTCCATTTTTTAACTCACGCTTTTTTTACTCATGCAAAATGTATTTAAACGCCATGATTTTTTGTACTTTTTGTATCTTTTTCATTTATATGCAATCTAAGGGTTACATCTTGCATTAAAACACAGCAAATTCGCGACAGAAGGCTTTGAATTTTGCAATGTATTTTCGCTACATGGATATGTTTGTCGCAACGACATGGCCGGCTAAAAAATATATCAACATTTTAAACTGCCCTAAAAATTGCATAATCGCCTTTAAAACTGTACTTTGAACACGCAAAAACGTTCGCAGATAAATAAAGAATAGAAATATCTTTGAATAACTGGAAATTATCGTTTCTAGCCTACCTTTTCACATAGAGTTTTGACCATAGGTTCGGAGAGTTGCTTGCAATCATTAAGCTGGTCGATCCAAGCGTCTAGATCTTTAGACGTAGTTGTATCCTCCATTTTAGCAAAAAAACGGGCAGAAAAGAACTACTAGGTAATGTTCTTCCCAACTAGTATTTTATTACAGAAATCGGACTGTTTTCAAACGAGATTTTTCAATTTTTTCAAAGGTTTTTAGTCGTTTAGTTTGCAAAATATGGCGGTGCGGAAAAAGAAGGACGATCGTTTATGCAACATCGGTCGAAGAGTGGGTGCCGAAGTGTGTTCGTGTGACAATCGTGACGCTATCGGAATTCTCCGGAAATATGACCGAAATATAACCGAAAAATCGGGGACATTTTTTGCGGCTGGGGTGAAATATGCTAATCGGGGGTGTGTTTTGTTTTGCAATAAATTGCAACAAATTTTCAAACTTCCTCTAAAAAAAAAGTACACCCTTTTTGACAAGTTTCAAGCTTTTTGCAGCAGAAAAGGTATGATTTTATACGTTAAAGTTGTTGATAAAGTAGCTGAAATGCTTTGCTTGTCCGACACTAGTTTAAACGCTTTGTTTTCGGGTACATTTTATATAGAAGCGATGCTCGACTGTTCAAGTGCCGTGACTGTGCAAATTTTAGAAAAGTTTACATCAATTTAATGTGGCTTTAAATATAATAATCGGCTAATATCTTTTGGAATTCTGGGCGTTTCAAAGCCCTATGGTATATTGCTATAGTATAAATAGTTGTTTTATATTTAGTTTGGTATTGAAACGGGAGATTACAATAATAATGCCTACATTTTTGGTCGAGTATTTGGTTGCTTTACATGTAAATACTAGTTGTACAGTACGTTTGCAATCCAATGTTGCCACAGTATTTCGATACTTTAAATGTTCTTAGCTGTAAAAATGCGTCATTTTTTATGTTTTATAACTAGGCATTGGGGAGGAAGTATCAGCAACCCTCAACTCTGTCCTTTGTATATATAATGGCTCTTCAATTACCTGATATTAGATGTATTTCATTTTCTTTATACAAAATGTTAAATCAATCAAATAATTGCAGGGTGTCAGTAAGCGTTTCTACAGGGATATTGATCGACTTGTTAGCACTTACACCAAATGAAAGTATGTTCCTGTTTTAAAAAAAGTGGGCCGGGCGGGCGGATTTTTATTTATTTTTTTACAAGCATATGTAGCCTATTTCACTTTGAAAAAGCAATTAAACCCATGGACACAGAATAGGAAGTTATACCAGAAGCGTAACTCGAGCAAATATTTGTCCGCGTTTTTACAAGCGATTCGTCATCAATCACGCCATCCTGGCTAGTACAACCGGCACTTTGTACCTACCAAATCCTGATAAAAACTTCCGGCTGTACTAGCCAGGATGGCGTGGCCTGACGTGAGCGAGTTAAAATTTTCGTGGACGTCAAACAATAAAGGAAACGACTAGAGTTACGCTTCTGGTATAACTTCCTATTCTGTGCCATGGAGCAGCACTCCTCCCTTCATGAGTAAATTGTTTGGTATTAGACAGGGTAGCATAGGATAGGGAGGCGCAATGCAACTTGTACAGTTGCAAGCAATGAATGTGTTCCAAGTAATTTGCACACATGATGTGTTTGAGTTAGCAATTCATTTGATATGTTTGAGTTAGGCGAAGTTGTGAAATATTCTCGCCCATGGAAGTGGGTTCAATAGTCGATGAACTTGTATGTCTAGTCCTAAGCACATACACCTGGCTAGCCATAGATTCTTAAACTTGTGTACAATGTACTGCATTCTGGATATAATGGGTCAACCCATTCAGTTGCATTGTGCCCTAATGCACCTTACTTTATCATTTTACTCTGTCTAATGCCAGATGATTTTACTCATCAATTAAGGGGGACCGCCGGTGCTCAATGGGTTAATTTAAGGTTTTTAATTTGCACTAGAATCATGTCTGGTTATCCTGGTGGATACCCTGGTTACCCCCCAGATCCTGTAAGTATCGATATTTACGACAATAATTATTGATGTAAAAATTATCCTATTTTTCATTGGATCAGCGTAATTTATTGGTTAATTTGGATCAAAACGGGTTATTTTTCTTTCCAGTATGGTGGTTATCCACCTGCCGGTCCAGGTTATCCCTCGGCTGCACCTGGTTACCCTCCAGCCGCACCTGGTTATCCATCTGCCGCACCAGGTTACCCAGGGGCTGCACCTGGTTATCCATCCGCAACACCTGGCTTTCCCCCTTCTGGAGGCTATCCACAACCCGGTTACCCAAGTGGTGGTGGTAAGAGGCTTTCACAGTGGGTTAAGATTTGTAGGGATGCGCCGGATATCATATCCAGCTGGATATTTGGGTCAAATTACTAGTGCTGGGAAATGTCCGGCTTTGCCAGGGGCACAGCGGCCAAGAAATGTTTAACAAAATATCTTTGCACGAGTGTTTTGTCATCTCATATGCTGGAATGCCATATAATTTACTTCCCGACAATTTAGTCCTGCTATGCAAATTCAAAATTATTATCATTATTCATTTCTTTAGAAATAGATTGTTTTCACAGTCAATGAACATGAAAATATTTGCATAGCTGGACTAAGTTGTATGGCTGACTACATTAAGCGTTTTGCAAGTCGAGATACCGCAAATTGAAGTTTATCCCAATGTGCGACACCGCACGTTCTCTGAAATCTATATATCAGCAAGTTTTATGTTAGATCTACACAGGAAATTTTTATTTTTGGATTTGCTGATAGGAAGAGAAATATGTTTTCTTGGCATGGTTGATAGTAAGATCATCTCCAGCTTGAATATCTGGTGCATCCCTGTATTATATACCCATCGTTTCACGAAGGACTCCTTCATAGCTTGTACAGAACATCTTTCTATTTCTAGGAGGGTACCCCCCTGCTGGAGGTTATCCTGGTGGTCCCCCTGGTGGATATGGTAAGTTGTATACATTTCTAGCCTCCCCCTCTCTTATGCCCCCCCCCCTAATACTCCCCCTCTTTAATAAGTACACTTCTCTGATAAATCCCTCTCTCTCTCTCTTGTAAGCCCTCTCTTTCAAGCTCTACTGTTCAGTAACCCTTTTAAACATGGCAGAAATGAATAAGTCCTCAAGAGCAAAGCTTCAATTGAAAAGATTTTACAGTATTCAATGGACAACTTGCATGTTAGACTAAATTTTAATCTAAGCATATTCTGAAAAGAACATACTAAAATTAGTAAAAGTGCAAAATTTGGTTGCGAAATGTTGTAAAGCTTGGAAAATATAGCTTTGTAAAGTTTGCATATTTTCAGTATATTTGTATTACGAGCGGAAATTGTTACAATTTTCGGCTCAAAAATGGTAACAATTTCCGCACGTAATACAAATATACTGAAAATATGCAAATTTTGCAAAGCTATATTTTCCAAGCTTTACAACATTTCGCAACCAAATTTTGCAAGTTTACTAATTTTAATAAGTTCTTAACGGGAATTTACTTTTTGTTTTCCTAGATCGGCTAGATAAAAAATTTGTCTAACATGCAAGTTGTCTATTACCAAGTCAGAACCGCAATGTCCATTATTAAACACCACCTTTCATATTCTAGGAGGTGGTCCCCCACCAGTTGGGTTTGGTGGTGCACCTCCTGGAGGTGCTCCATATGGTGGCGCCCCTAGTTACGCCGCATATGGCCAGCAACCCCCGCAACAGCAGTATGGTCAAGCTCCACCCCAACCTGGTTATGGTCAACCACCCCCACAGCATGGATACGGTGGTGCCCATCAAGGATATGGCGGTGCCCCTCAAGGATATGGTGGTCACCCCCCTCCTCACGGACAACACCCTCCACAGGCTGGTCACCCTCCATCACGCCCACCACAACCCGGCGTCAGGGAAGCGCCAGTTCAGGCATCCAAAGCCCCAAGTGCGGTAAGTGAAATTCGTGGAAATAAGATTTTCAAAAGAGTTTGAAATTTTCTTCTATGAAACTTTGCAAGAATTTCCCCTGGAAAATTGCAATGGCATAGACCCTTTCGATAATTACATCACATATCTCATCTTGGCCTGGTAGCCTCGTTCTCATGTTTCAAGATGAACAGTGATTGGCTCACAATTCATGAGAGCGAGACCCCCAGGCCAAAACAAGATATGTGACGTAAATATCAAAACAAAATTTTAATCTAGACAAGTCTTTCATCACAGCTTGAAAGAGTGTCACAAAATTAGTAATATTCCGAAGTTTCGTTGCGAAATGTTGTAAAATGCGGATAATAATCAGTTTGATCATCTGATTATCAATTTCCCAATTGTAATATATACAAAATGACTGAAAAACGGCAAACCTCGCAAGGCTATATTATCCGCATTTTACAACATTTCGCAACGAAACTTCGTAATATTACTAATTTTGTGATGCTCTAATTCAAACTGTGATGAAATTTTTGTCCAGACTTGTCTAGATCAAAATTTCACTCAAAAGGGGAAAGGTCCATTGACTTCTCTTTTCTCGTGTGTAGCAAGCGGGTCCACCTACAAAACAGCTTCAAAGCATGTCTTTGCAACAGGTACGTACCGTATGTCATTCTGTTCACCGAGGCTTTTACCTTACCCAGAGCATCGAAACTGGCAAAAAAATACCGTTGGTGAGAAGGGCTATTAATATTTTTTTAATATTTCCTCTACCAGAAATATGGCCATGGTACCGTTAAGGGTGTGTCTCCTTTCGATTGTGAGGCGGATTGTGAACTGTTGAGGAAAGCCATGCGTGGCGTAGGTAAGTTCTTATTTTATTTCTCTGAATCACCTTCAGACTAAAAAAACACACCTGACTGAGTGTATAGCATCACTTCACTGGCGCAGTAGTCGCTAGCAAGTGGCTTTCAACTCTGAGATCGTGGGTTTGATTCTCACTACGGACTCATGTGAAAAGAGTCGGTCAACGCTCTGCCGCAAGTCGTGGGTTTTCTCCGCGGTACTCCGGTTTCCTCCCACCGTAACTGTGCTCTGTGATCGAACACAAGTCATAAGGTGGCTGCCAGGGCCCAGAGGCGCCCTTAGAAAGCCTTCGACTCGATCAGGTTGAGCTGCGTCCTTCGTAATAGACAATTCCCATTATAGACAATTCCTATTTTAAAACTAGGCAAGGAGATGCAAATAAATCACCACAGCTAGAAAGAGCATACTAAAATTAGTAAAATTACAAAATTTGGTTGCGAAATGTTGTAAAATGTGGAAAATATAGCCTTGCAAAGTTTGCAAATTTTGTATACTTTTGTATTGCGTGTGACATTTTCGGCCTAAATGTGGCAGGAATGTGGTAGGAATTTCCGCAAGCAATACAAAAGTATACAAAATTTGCGAACTTTGCAAGGTTATATTTTCCTCATTTTACAACATTTCGCAACCAAACTTTGTAATTTTTCTTATTTTAGTATGCTCTGTCTAGCTGTGGTGATTTATTTGAGTTTCCTTACCTAATTTTAAAATTAGTCTATAATGGGAATTGTCTATTCAGCCTAGCTCTCAGCTGCAAGTAAAGTACTAAGGATGATTAGCACAACCCACTTATAAGTTATAGTAACAAATAATTACTGAACCTTGCGCTTAGCGCAAACGATAAACGTTTACACCAACTACACACGTTAACATCTCACAACAGATTTCGCAACAGACTTGTAGCAAGCTTGTCAACAAGTTGTAACAATGCTGTTATTTTATCGAGTTGCTACAAGGTTGTCACTCACAACTTGTAGACAAATTGTTGAATTTGAATTGCAAGACGATAACAAGTTAATTGTTGCAACAACTGTAACAAGTCTGTTGGACTCAACAACCTTGTAGCAAGTTGTCAACAAGCTGGGAACAAGCAGTGCGAACACATTCTGTTGACAAGTTGTTGGAACAGCATTGCTACAAGTTTGCTGCAGGTTTGTTACAACTTGTGCGTTTTTACGTATGTATATGATTTTCATGTTTTCAGGAACTGACGAGCAAGCATTGATTGATATCCTTGCCACACGTTCAAATGAACAACGTGTAAAAATTAGACTGCAGTTTAAGACGATGTTTGGAAAGGTGAGTAGCGAGTCCTATGTCCATACATCAAAATCGTTGATGGCTATTGTACGTGCTCTATAAAGTGTTGCACGTGCTCTATGTAAAGCGTTGTTGTTCGAATAAATGCATAAGCCGCAACAATTTTCCGCAGAAAGAAAATTTTGTAAAATCTGATTGGCCGACACCAATTTTCCCGTCGGAAAAAATTTTGAAGTTGAAAATTTTCAACTTTTAACAATGATATATTTGGAAAATTTTTCGTTCTTGGAAATTTTTCTTGTGTGGAAATGGCCATTAATAACGAGTCCTACGTTGTTATTGTACATCAATTTTATGTTTATATTCTTCAGGATTTGATCAACGAACTGAAGTCGGAATTGAGTGGAAACTTGGAAGATTGTTTATTGGCGATGATGGAACCGAAAGTTTTGTATGATGCTAAATGCCTACGTCGGGCAATGCGGGTACGTCCCTCCTCTGAACTCTTGATTGCCAGGTTCCTTGTGTCATGACACTGAACCCCCGTAAACAGTTTAGAACTGAAAGAGCTAGTTGGTTTAGTAATAAGGATTCCTCCCATAGTAACACTGGATCGATAAGAGATGATCCTTACTGGATTTCTGGAGAGAACAGTTTAGAACTGATATAGAGCTGTTATAGTTTAGTTTAGGTTTCCTCCTGTGGGAACACTGGGTCAATAAGAAACTATCCTTACTGGATCTATAGGAAGAACAGTTTAGAACTGATCATGATGCAGCTATCCAGTATAAGCTGGTTTAGTTTAGGTTTCCTCCTGTAGTAACACTGAATCAATAAGAGATGATTCTTACTGGATCTCTGAAGAGAACAGTTTAGAACTGGTAGAGCTATCTTTAAACATAGTTTGTTTAGTTTAGTTTAGGTTAAGTTTCCTCTTGTATAGTAGTAGCACTGCATGGATCAACCGTTACAAAGAACAGTTTAGGGCTGATAGAGTTATCTAGTATAAATAAATTTAGATTATATTTGTTCTCTTCTTAAGGGTGCTGGTACTGATGAAGAAACATTGATTGATATTTTATGTTCGAGAAGCAATGCGGTAAGCCGTAGACGACACACGAGTCTTAGAAACAAAAAAAACAAAAACTCGCATCAATGTATTTTTCGGAGTCCTCCAATATCTCATTAAAATTCGCTTTCTGATTTTCCAGGAAATTCAGAAGATTAAAGATGAGTACAAAACATGTATGTATTAAGTCTGAAATTTTATCTTAAATTCAATGACAGCTGACTTATTTGTCATTTGAGACATGTGACATAAATATAGTCAAATATACTTTGCTGTTGCACGTGGAATAGCGTACAGTAAAATATTCCTTTGTTTGTTCGAAGAGCATTTGAAAAAGGCAAGTTTAGAATCCGAGGGACATTCAACATTTTTAATTTCCAGGTCTAAAAAATGGATATGTTACTTCATAGATAGAGTTTATTCGAGGTATATGATGTTTTTATAATGTATATTTCTAGATTACAAGCGGGACTTGGAGAAAGATTGTGTTAGTGAAACAAGCGGTCACTTTAAAAGACTTCTTGTCTCCATGTGTCAGGTATGGTGATTTAGTTTAGTTTATTAAGTTTCTCCCTCATTGGCGCGACGTAGAACGTATCATTACTGATGTGTTTTCAAACAGACCATGACTAGCAAAACTTTCCTTCTGTTGTAGGGTAATCGTGATGAAACCGACACTGTCGATATGGCGAAGGCAACGAAAGAGGCGAACGATTTATTCCAGGTATAATTAAATGATGAAATTAAGACCAATTTACACTACACAGCTTTTGCCTAAAGGACCGGTCATAAAGTAACTGCTAGGGTGGGCTGGAGTGATTTGGGATGGGCCATGGAAAATCTTTGGGCAGTTTCGATGGGCCGCCATTTTTTTGTATGTCCACGGTTGTGCCACCAAACAAAAACCCATGCATGTCTACTTCAAAAAATAACGATATTAATAATAAAAGTAAACAAAACTATCCAAATTATCAAATGCAAATGATGCTATTGAAGTACTAGTACTTTGGAGAGCAGCTCAGTATGTCAAGCTTGGTGGAATTATATGTATTTCAAGACTGTGCCGTGTATACATATTTACAATGTTTATACCCGCAAGTTTTTTTTTATTATAAAAGTGTATTTTTTCAAGTTAAGATTGGGTGGGTTATGAAAATTTTTTGCAAGATTAGATGGGCTTTGAAATTTGTATCTATATCCCAAGATGGGTCACTGAACTTATTGGCAAAATTTGTGATTTACTTCCAGCCCACCCTAGCAGTTACTTTATGACCAGTCCCTAAAACCGTCGCGTGCAACCTGCTTACAACTTTAGTCTTGAGTTGCACTGTGTAAATCAAGCACTCAACTCGTCTATGACAATGTATGCGAGTCGTGTGCTTGATTTACACAGTACAAGAATGGACCATTTGCATTATAGACTAAATTTTGATCTAGACAAAAATTTCACAAAATTAGTAATATTCCAAAGTTTCGTTGCGAAATGTTGTAAAATGCGGATAATATAGCCTTACGAAGTTTGCCGTTTTTCAGTCATTTTGTATTACGCACGGGAAATTGACAGCCCAATCGGGTGTTGGGGCAACAATTTCTCGTTTGTAATACAAAATGACTGAAAATTGCAAATTTCGCAAGGCTATATTATCCGCATTTTACAACATTTCGCAACGAAACTTTGGAATGTTGCTAATTTTGTGATGCTCTTTCAAGCTGTGATGAAAATTTTGTCTAGATCAAAATTTAGTCTATAATGCAAATGGTCCATTGTCTAGTGTAAATCGTCCTTTATAGTTTTCCTCGTATAGGCTGTTGCGTCTTTGTGACGTCAACCCGTCTTTTTATATTTTTGTTTTGCAATGTAGGCAGGTGAGAAAAAATGGGGGACGGACGAATCTCGATTTAATGTCGTTCTTGCTTCGAGAAACTTCAAACAGCTCAATGCCACCTTTAATGAATATGTCAAGGTAATTATCATATTGTGCTCTTAACGTCCCTGCATATAGTAAATAATAATTGGACGTCAATGGTCGCCATCTTGGCTTCGCGTTTCTCATAGGCTGAATGACTGAAGTTCTTGCTCTAGATATATAGAGAGAGGTCACTGCATATAACAAGCTTGTAAACTTTTGTATTACCGTAAACCTCCGACTATAAGCCCTGGGCTTATATACTTTCATAAGCGATTTTTGATGGGCTTATACAAGGGGGGGCTTATATAATGGGCTAATACATGGACGATCTTTTGTGTTAGTAATAAGCAAGTAAGACATAAACAAGTCGGTCATAAACAGGAAAATAAACATGCATTAAACATAGTAAGCTATAAAGACAATGACAATGTTTTTAAATATCGTTCTCTGCTATATTAAAAGACAATGTCAATGTTGAATAACATAGTGGGCTATTGGGCTTATATTTGAGGGACTTATATTCGGGGGG